TTTACTAAGTAATAATGGGGAATTCCCTGGAGGTCCAGTGGTTAGGACTCCATGCTTCCAACTGCAGGGGGCACGGGTTTGATCCCTGGTCAGGAAACTAAGTTCCTGATAGCCACGTGGTGAAAAAAAAAAAAAAAAAATTAATGTCTTCCACTTCTTACTAATCAGAGACATGCATCACCACCAGAAAGCATAGGACACCAGGGCTGCTGCCCTTCCAAGGCACTTCAATCCCCAGCAAAACAAAGAAGAGGTGCAGCCATGTGAGCCCTGGGCAGCTTAACTCGGAGCAGTGGCACATGGCACACAAGGCTCCTTCAAGTATCAACGCTGGCTCTCACCTGTGACCTGGGGTAGGAGCCACCACCACTACCACGGTAACCATGAAGACCTACGGTCTAGTCCCAGCTCTAACACTTCGGCCAAATCACTGAACCTTCGTGAACCTGAGTTTCATCATCTGAAAAATGGGTAACCCCCGATCTGCTGCTTCTAGGGACTGTTAGAAGGATAGGATAAGAAAAGGTACTGGAGAAAGCCAACTGCCCTTTGCTGCCCAAATGCCCAGGATTATACAAGATTCCACACCGGTAAAATGGGACTAGTAACAGTTCCTACCTCATCAAGTTGTTGTGAGAATTAAGTCAGATAATAGCTATAAAACAGTTCCTGCCATTCTTCAAGGACTCAGAAAGATGAAGCTATTACATAATCGCTACTACTATTATTGCTGTTGCTGTTAATAACACTATTATCACAATTTTTTTTTTATTTTTATTTTTTTGCGGTACGCGGGCCTCTCACTGCTGTGGCCTCTCCCGCTGTGGAGCACAGGCTCTGGATGCACAGGCCCAGCGTCCATGGCTCACGGGCCCAGCCGCTCCGCGGCATGTGGGATCCTCCTGGACCGGGGCACGAACCCATGTCCCCTGCATCGGCAGGCGGACTCTCAACCACTGCGCCACCAGGGATGCCCCACAATTATTATCATAACTTGTCACCTGGCTAAGAGACTCATGGGAAAGTAAAGAAGTTTTAAAGTACAGGAAGTCTTCTTAGGAGATATCAGCATCACCTAGTCTAGAATTGGGAGAACCATGTTTTGTCCCGAGTTAATCCAAAAATGAACCAAAAGTGCAGAAATCAAAACTAAAATCCACCTGCCTTAGCTCAAGGTTTTCTGCTTCAAGAAATTTTTCTCTGGAAAGTATTCAAACACCTGCTAAATATCAGGAGCAACCGATGCATCCTGAAAACCTCACACAGCTCTCTGGTCCGAGGATCCACTGCGGAAAATAAAAGCAGCGGTGCCAATGCTTTGTCCCTCTAACTGAGCCCTATTAGAGGAGGACCAAAAAAAAAACACTGAACACTCAGAAATGTTCGTAGCAAATCTAAGAAAGCAGAGTGAAGCAAAACATTTTTTATGTAGGGAATAGGAGAACAATTATGCCCAAACCCTTAAGTCTCTCAAGAAATTGTCACGGGAGGTAGGAAATATAATCAGCTGCCACAGGGTCTCAGCTTCCCCACATGGTTCACCTTTGAGCGTGGGGACACTGTCACATACTGCTTTCCCCTAGGCCTGGGAGGACATAGCCAAGGCCCTGGGGGGTAGGGAGCCAGAGCTTGCTGTAAGATGATCACCAGGGACTTGACACACAGTTACTATAGAAGAGTCGGGAAAAGGAACAATTATTCCCAAACCCTTAAGTCTCTCAAGAAATTGTCACGGGAGGTAGGAAATATAATCAGCTGCCACAGGGTCTCAGCTTCCCCACATGGTTCACCTTTGAGCGTGGGGACACTGTCACATACTGCTTTCCCCTAGGCCTGGGAGGACATAGCCAAGGCCCTGGGGGGTAGGGAGCCAGAGCTTGCTGTAAGATGATCACCAGGGACTTGACACACAGTTACTATAGAAGAGTCAGCAAAAGACAGGAAGGTTGGGAGGCTGTGACTATGGCCTATAGAGTCCTACACACCCCTCAAGTCCCCCAGCCCAAGACTTTGCCTAGTACCTCATGAAAAAGACCGAAACTATCAGACAGGAACACCCACCTCTCCCCTCACCAACCTTATCAACCTCCTTACATCAGCTCTGGTACTCAGCCCCTTCCTTTCCACAAATGGATGAAATGCCCTGTTCCCATCTGAGACCATTGAGACTTAAGCCCTGGATGCCTTCCCTCCTACCTTCTCTGAAACACTGCTCCAGTAATTGTCCCATCTCTTTCCTGCATCATCTATTTCTCCATCTCTTCTGGATCATTCCCATCCAAACAAAACACGCTCTACAATCTCGCTCTAAAAAAAGACACCCCCCTCCAAATGTACATCCTCTCCAGTTCTCAGCTAGCTCCTCAACTCCACTCTGTAAGAAAACCACCTGAAATATTCACCTATACTTACTGACTCCATTTCCTTACCTCATGTGTTCTCTTCCACCTGTTCCACTCAGGATTTGTCCTTCAGGCTTCTGGGAGCCCTCATTCTCCTGGATTTTCTCCTACCTTCTCAGTCCTTCTCTTTTGCCAATCTCCAAATGCTGCTCTGTCCCAAGGCTTAGGTCATCTTTTCTGTCTACACTCTTTTCTTAGATGACTTCATCTAATCCTGTGGCCTTGAATAACACCTATAATACCCAAATGTGTATCTCCAGTCCTCTCTCTTTCCTGGGCTCAGATTCACACATCTGACTAATTGATATACTCACATCTCAATGTAACATAGCACAACAAGATCTCACGCTCTCCCCCACTCCAAACCGGCTCCTCCCGGCCTTCCCATCTCAATATACGCACCATCCACCTCAGGTGCTCATGCACCTGGGAGTCATCTCTGACCCTTTTCCTTCTCTCACAGATTGCAACCCAGTCACCAAGCCTGAATTTGACCACTTCTCTCCACCTCCGATGCTACCTACCACCCTCAGTCAGGCCATCAGTGATGCTTGCCTGGACTACAGCAATAGCCTCCTACTACTATCCCTACAGTTGCCCACCTACAGCCCACTCTAGAACAGGCAGAGAAACCATTCTGAAAATGTAAACCAGGTAATTCCCTGCCAGTCCAGTGGTTAGGACTCAGAGCTTTCACTGCCAGGGCCCAGGTTCGATCCCTGGTCGGGGAACTAAGATCCTGCAAGCCGCCAAAAAAAAAATTAAAAAGTAAATCATTCGTGTCACTCCTTACCCTGGCTCACAATGCTCTGTACCATTCAGCTCTCTCTTGTCTGTAACCTCTTCTCCTGCCACCTTCTCCCTTGTTCACCACATTCCAGACACACCGGCCTTTCTGCTCCTTGAACTCGAAGCTCTTTCGTGCCTTAAAGCCCTTCCACTGGCAGTTTCTCTCTTCCGGAAATGTTGCCACCTCATGTACACAAGGATGGCTCTTTCTTGTCATTCAAATTTTACCTTAAATGTCACCTATTCAGAAACACCAACACTAACCTCCCAATCCAACCAAACCACCCAGTTACTTATCACATCATCTTATTTTAATTTTCTGCATAGTAGTTACCACTATCTGACATTATTCCTGTTTGTTTTTTTCCCTTATTTTTCTGCTTCCTCCCCTCCCCCCCCACTCAATTGCAAGCTCCCTGAGCAGCCGACCAGTGTCTGCCTCTTCACTTCTGTAGTCCCAATGCTTACAACAATGTGTGGTACACAGGAGAAATCTAATAACATCAATGGATGCAGTTATGAGCCAGAGAGGCGCACTGACCAAGAGGTTTGAGGTCCCAGCCAGCTCCCCAACTTCTCTCAAATACAAATGTGAGGTCGGAGAGCAGAACCACAGTCACAGGGCTAGTGCTCATTTCTATAAATCTCATCCATCAGGATTTCAACCATCTGTCAGAGCCCAAACCGGGAGGGAGGCTCTGGGATGTTCTGGGACCATCCGAGCTTCGAATATGCTGCTCCACTACTGACTAGCAGTGTTTTAGCTGGTGAAGAAAGGAATTCTAACTCACAGTCCCGCAAAATACACCAACCTCTATCCTTTGCCTAGTTTATTCATTCAGTGAATGAATAAACTACTCTGCGCTAGGCACTGGGGCAAAGGATCAAAAGCAGTTTCTGACCTCATGGAGCTCACCTGAGAGCAGGCAGAGGGTTGCAGAGAAACGCTGCAACCCAGGTACACACCCAGAGTGGGAAATTAAAGACTATACTAGTGTTAGCGTCAGGACGGCGCCTTAACTCACTGCCCCTCGATTTCATTTCTACAGACCTAGGTCTAGGGTACCTGACGACTGGGGCAAGGCTCCCGAGCTTCTGCGGAAAAGCCACTGATCGACTAGCAGAGGCAGGAGTGTGATTGACTAGCAGAGGCAGGAGTGATAGTCCCAGTAAAGCGCCAGCTGAAGACACCTAGTGTTCGAGGAATGCTATTGGCTGACCGGTTCCCCTGCCCAGCCCCACCGCTCCCCCGCAGGCCCGCGCTTTGGAGAAGTGGGGCTGCGGTGCCGACTTTCCACCACCATCCCGGGCAACGTGGCCGATGAGGAAGTCCCCCAGACGAGATGCCGTTCGTCTCTTTCCCCACCCCCCCTCCTCCCAAACCCCAGCTGCTGGACCCGGGTCAGAACCCCTACTTCTGCTCTCCACACACCGGGCCATCCCGGCCCGGCACCCGCCAGACTCCGCTTAGCCCGAGACCCCAGCGCGGAGGTGTGTCCGACCCCTCACACCAGAGCCCCAATCCCGCCCAATCGCCGCGTCCCGGGCGCAGTTTGAAGCCCCGGCGCCCGCATCGGGCCGGATACCGGACCCCCGCTCGGGTCCCCCTGCGGAGATGCGGGCCCCGCCTCGCCTCCGCCTGGAGCCCGCCACACAACTCAGGCACAAAATAGCCCACATGAGTGCGGCCGCGGCGCAGTGCGCGCCAACTCGCCGGACCCGCGCGGGAGTGGGGGGTGGGCGGCGGCGCGGCGGGAAACGGGTCGGACCCCGAGGCACAGGTGAAGGCGCTGCGCCCCCGTCACTCACTCGATGAAGTAACTGGCGCCCTCCTCCGTGAAGCCCTCCTCCCAGCCGCGGGGCAGGTCTGTGGAAACGCGAGAGAAGTCCGGTCAAACTTGGGCCACCCAGCCGAATGACCCCCTCCCCCGAGCGCCCCACCCCGCCGGCCCGGCGCCCACCTGAGCGGATCATGTGGCCGGAGTTGACGGGTTCCCCGGTGCGCGGGTGCAGCCAGGTCGTGCAGCGGAGCTGGTCACTGCGGAGAGAGAGATGCACCTGTTAGCGCCGCCGCCGCTCTGGGGGCGCTCGCCCGGCCCCGCACCCCCGCCCGGCCCGCGCCCCAGCCCGCGTCCCCGCTTTCCCGCGCCGCACTTGATGAAGAAGACGCGGCCGTCCCGGCACACGCCGTAGGACCAGTGCTCAGGTAAAGTGTCCCGCCCGACCGCCGCCGCCGCCGCCATGTTCGCCGCGCACTGAGTAGCCGCGGCCGCCGCGGGGAGGGAGGGAGGGGGCGGAGGCGGAGGTGGGGGCGGTGCGGGCGGCGTGCCGGCGGGCTCGGCCCGCGCGGGCCCGGACTGCGCCCCCGGGCGCTCCATTGCGGCGCTGGCTTCCCGGGGCGCGGGCGTGCGGCGGCCAGGGCCCGGGCTGGCAGAGTTCCGGCACCGCCGCTGCACCCGCCCTGCCCAGCGCGGTAGCCGCGGCCTTTGTCCCCGCGCCTTCCCCGCCCCCAGCCCGCCGCGCGCCCCTTGGCCCCTGAGGCCGCCAGACTCGAGCAGGGCGGGGGCCGCCTTCGGGGCGCGGAGGGCCAACTCCTGAGACAGGGTGCTTCCCGAATGCGCCGGTAAACCCCACCGGCCCCCCACGACACAGCTCTCTCCAGGAACTGTACTTATTTCTGAACCATGTAAACCTCAACAGGTTACTTCCATATTCCCTCCGAGCCTCGGTTTCTTCCTCTGTAAAATAAAGTTAGTAATAAATACTACATGGGATTGTTCTGTGGATTAAATGAAATAACAGTGGTGTAAAGTACTTAACTGGACCCGGGCACGTATAGGTGCTCTGTTAATCCCAGGTCAGCCATGATTTCATTTTCCCAAGTTTGCAGCTGGCATACGAAGCAGGAGGGTGCAGGTCTTCCCCCGACACACCAACACATAGCCCTGAAGTTGGAAGGAATAACAGGTCTCTGCCTTCAATTCTTGTCAAGTGACAGACAGGTGCTGAGAGCTGTGCTGCATCTCATCCATCTTTAGAAGAACAGACCCTCCAGTCGGGGGTGGAGGTGGGGGTCTGTAATGGGGGCTCTGGAAGCTTCTTTGCATGGCTGGAGCCTTCTCAGTCTTTGGTCTCATCTCAGCTCCTGGGGGATCCCTCCCCTGCCCTCACTGTCTAAAGGAGACCCTTCCCCTCCTCCACTCACTCTTCCTTTACTTCTGTGCACTTAGTTGACATTATTTGTGTGTTTGTTTATTGCCTTTTCGTTGTACATTATCACACATACACAAACACACCAGTAAAATGTCAGCTGGATGAGAGGAGGGGCCTTGTTCTGTCTCACTCACTGCCATATCCCCAGTGCCTGGAACAGTGCCTGACTCATATATATAGTCAATAAATGCAGCTTGAGTGCGTGAAGAACACTCCACCCTGACATCCCTGCACACTGAGCATGGACAGAGAGGAAGCTGGGCTCTGAAAGATGTCAGGTCCAGCCTTTGAGGGACATAGGAGGTAGTTGGTGGGATGCAGCTCACATGAAAGTGAGACTGTAGGCTAGATTCAGAAAGGCGCCCCACTAATAAGAACCTACTATATAACACTTTACTCAATACTCTGTAATGACCTATATTGGGAAAAGTATCTAAAAAAGAGTGGATATATGTATAACTGATTCACTTTCTTGTACAGCAAAAACTAACACAACATTGTAAATCAACTATAGAGGAAAGAAAGGAAAGGAAGGAAGGAAGGAATATGCCCCAGACACGTGGAGTTTGGCTGGACTCTGAAGGACTGGTCAGATTTGACTGGGAAGAACACATCCCAGAGGAGAGGGAAGAACACATCCCAGAGGAGAGGGATGAGAGAGCAAACATGGGATTGTGGAAGGGGTATGGGATGTTGAGGAGACCATAAAGGTGCCCTTCCTTATGAACAGACAGTGGTGTTCGGGAAGGAGGCCCATATGAGTTAAAAAGAGGGAGCTGTGATTGTGGAGGACCTTGAACACCTGTCCAAGAGGGCCTCCACCCTTTGAGTAGATTCTTGAGCAAATTACAAGGGGAGAGTAGTGTCTTTGTTGTTAAACATTAATTTAAAAGAATGCATTAAGTGGGCAAAGGACATGAACACACAGTTCATAGAAAAGTAATACTTTTTTTTTTAATAAATTTATTTGCTTCTTTTTGGCTGCACTGGGTCTTCGTTGCTGCAAGCGGGCTTTCTCTAGTTGCGGCAAGTGGGCTTCTAACTGTGGTGGCTCCTCTTGTTGTGGAGCATGGGCTCTAGGTGCATGGGTTTCAGTAGTTGCAGCATGCAGGTTCAGTAGTTGTGGCACACGGGCTTAGTTGCTCCGTGGCATGTGGGATCTTCCCAGACCAGGGATGGAACCCGTGTCCCCTGCATTGGCAGGCAGATTCTCAATGAATGCACCACCAGGGAAGCCCAGAAAAGTGATACTTTTAAACAAATGAAAGAATATTCAACCACCTCATAATAGGAGGAATGCAGATTAAAATTAAGATTTTTTAGTATCAGATTGGCAAAAATCACTTTGTAGAGAAAGACATTCTTGTTCATTGTTAGTGGGACTATAAAATAGTTGTCTTATTGAAGGCAATTTGGCAACAGCTATTATAATTTAAATGCATATACCTTTTGACCTAGCAGTTCTTCTACTAGAAATTTGTCCTACGTTAATGCTCACACAGGGGCACAAAGACATGTGTACAAGAGTATTCACTGCAACATTGTCAATAGTTACAAAAGACCAGAAACAACCTAAGTGTCTATCCCCCCAAAATGGATTTGTATGGTGACAGATGTTAACTAGATTTATTGTGGTGATGTTTTGCAATATATACAAATATTGAATCATTATGTTGTATGCCTGGAACTAATATAATGTTATATGTCAATTACACCTCAGTTTTTTTAAATGGGTTGAATTATGTCATACTCCTACAATGGGTTGCTATGCAGCTGTTAAAAAGAATGAGATAGATCTCTATGTACTGGTATGGAATACTCTCTGAGATATTAAGTGAAATGCAAAATGCAGAACTGTGTATGTGGTATGCTGCTATTAATATATAGGTGCATCATGGCTAAATAAGATACCCTTAATTTGTGTCCTGCCTTCAACAACAACAATACGGCATCCATCCATGGACAAGAGTGCGTTTATGGGAGCTGTGGGATCCAGCACCATATGCCAAGGGACCCAGGAGAAGTCTCACCCACACATGTTTCAGGCAATAGACGTACAAAACTCGGTCCCAGCTGTGGACCCTGAGGGGCCCACAAACCAACTGCAGCCCCTCTCAGACACAGTCTAGGGGCCGTGGCAAACACTGTCTTAGAAAATCACCCGCAGACAAGAGGGTCTTTGTGGAAGTCCAGGTTTGGTGTAAAGTTCCAGCACACCACTGAAGCAAAAAAATACAAGTTTGGATGCATTGAAAAGGGCAGTTAGTAAAAACTAGAGGAGGGAGCTGCTCTTTCAAATGCAAAGACAGCAACACAAAACTTCAAGGAACATGAAAAATCAGTGAAACATGACACCACCAAAGGATCACAATAATCTTCCAGTTACCAATCCCAAAGACATGGAGATATGCAATTTACCCAGTAAATAATTCAAAATAGCTCTGTTTTGGGACTTCCCTGGTGGCGCACTGATCAAGAATCTGCCTGCTAATGCAGGGGACATGGATTCAAGCCCTGGTCCAGGAAGATCCCACATGCTGAGGAGCAACTAAGCCCGTGCACCACAACTACTGAGCCCACGTGCTACAACTACTGAAGCCTGCACACCTAGAGCCCATGCTCTGCAACAAGAGAAGCCACCTCAATGAGAAGCCCACACACTGCAGCAAAGAGTAGCCCCTGCTCACCACAACTAGAGAAAGCCCGTATGCAGCAATGAAGACCCAACGCAGCCAAAGATAAATAAATTAAATAAATAAATTTATTTCAAAAAAATAGCCCTGGGCTTCCCTGGTGGCACAGTGGTTGGGAGTCCGCTTGCCGATGCAGGGAACACGGGTTCATGGCCCAGTCCGGGAGGATCCCACATGCTGCAGAGCGGCTGGGCCCATGAGCCATGGCCGCTGAGCCTGTGCTCCGCAACGGGAGAGGCCACAACAGTGAGAGGCCCGTGTACCGCAAAAAAAATAAAAATTAAAAATTAAAAAAAATTAAAAATAGCCCTGTTTTAAGGAAACTTAATGAGCTACAAATAATAAATGCTGGAGAGGGTGTGGAGAAAAGGGAACCCTCTTACACTGTTGGAATGTAAATTGGTACAGCCACTATGGAAAACAGTATGTACATTCCTCAAAGAACTAAAAATAGAGTTGACATATGATTCAGCAATCCCACTCCTGGGCATATACCCTGATAAAACTATAATTCGAAAAGATACATGCACCCCTATGTTCATAGCAACACTATTTACAATAGCCAAGACTTGGAAACAACCTAAATGTCCATTGACAGATGAATGGATAAAGAAAATGTGGTGTTTATATATAATGGAATGTTATTCAGCCATTAAAATGAATGAAATAATGCCATATGCAGCAACATGGATGGACCTAGAGATTATCATACTAAGCAAAGTAAGTAAGAAAGAGAAAGACAAATACCATATGATATCACTTATATGTAGAATCTAAAATAAGACACAAATGAACCAATCTATGAAACAGAATCAGGGACATAGAGAACAGACTGGTGGTTGCTGAGGGGGAGGGGGAGAGGATAGGAGTGGGAGTTTGGGATTAGCAGATGCAAACTGGTATATATAGAATGGATAAACAAGGTCCTGCTGTATAGCACAGGGAACTATATTCAATATCCTGTGATAAACCATAATGCAAAAGAATATGAAAAAGAATATATATATATATATATATGTGTATAACTGAGTCACTTTGCTATACAGCAGTAATTAACACAACATTGTAATTCAACTACACTTCTGTAAAAGATAAATTAAAAAAAGAAAATATTCAAAAAAGTTAAAAATTAAAAAAAATAAATCATATGGGGACTTCCCTGGTGGTCCAGCAGTAAAGAATCTGCCTTCCAATGCAAGGGACACAGACTCAATCCCTGACTGGAAATTAAGATCCCACATGCTGTGGGGCAACTAAGCCCACACACCACAACTACTGAGCTCGCACGCCTCAATGAGAGAGCCCGCATGCCGCAAACTATAGAGCCCATGCACCCTGGAGC